GCGAAGGGGTGAGGGCAGGAGGGGGCGGGCAGGAAGGTGAGGGCGAGGGGGCAGGGGCAGTGAGGGGAGGGCAGGGGGACAAGTACCTGGAATAGGGCCTGGCTGCTGAAGTCCACCAGGAGCAGCCTCTTCTCGGCCTCCCCCCTCCGGCCCTTGTTGCTCCGGAAGAGTGCTCGGGGCAGCAGCACCGAATACTCCAGGACCTCGCTCTGTGCCTCCTGTGGACGGGGTCCCTTAGGGCCATCCACATGTGGACCCCAGATCTGTCCCCAACACACGCACATACATCCCTCCCTGGACGCTGTCTCTCCAAGCCTGTCTCCTACAGGAAGCCTTGCCTGGCTCAGGACAGCCCGTCTCAGCCCTCCCTTCCCTGGCACCAGCTCTGACTGGGGAGCCTTGTGGTTAGCTCTCAGGGCCCCAGGGCGAGCAGGCCTGGGAGAACCACGTGGTGTTCTGCTGCCCGGGGACTCAGACACCGACCCTGTCTATAACAGCCTGGCGTGGTGGCCACACAGGCAGTGTGGGTGGCTCCCAGCTAGCCAGAACTACTCAAAGGGCAGTCTCAAGACAGGGGTTAGCCGGGTGCCATGGCTCATGCCTATAATCCCTGTGCTTTGGGAGGCCGAGAAGGATCACTTGAGACCAGGAGTTCAAGACCAGCCTGGGCAACACCGTGAGAGCCTTCTTAACAAAAAATTAAAAATATTCCCCGGGCGTGGTGATGTGCACCTGTAGTCCCAGCTACTTAGGAAGCTGAGGTGGGAGAACTGCCTGAACCCAGAAGGTTGAGGCTACAGTGAACTATGATTGCATTACTGTTCTCCAGCCTGGAAGACAGAATGAGACCCTGTCTCAAAAAAAAAAAAAAATCCACAGGATGTGTGGACAGGCACATTAGGGTTGGTCTGCTGTTCACACAGGTGTGCCCCAGGGAGCAAGTTGTCCCCACCGACACCTTTGTCCATCAGTGTGGCCAGATAGGGGCCTCAATACCCTGGGGAAGCCCTGATGAAGGAGAGCTCTCCTTGGGTCTGGAACTTCCTGGGAGGCCCCAGGGAGGGCTGAGGCCAGGGTGCTGCACGGCAGGCAGTGCTTATGGCCTCGCCTCCTGCCTGGCCCAGCTCCACCTGCTTCTTGCCCTGGCCCGGGCCCAGCGACCCTGACCTCCTGTCGGGAGTGGATGTGCAGGTCCTGCAGGCCGGCTGTGGGCTGGAGCTTCCACACCGTGGCATTGACTCGGTCCTCCTCGAAGGACACCATGTCGCCTTTGAATCTCACAGAAGTCAGCTTCGTCTCCAAGCTCTGCAGCTGCCTGGCGGGGGAGAGCGGTGGTGACTGAGAGGCCAGAGACTGCGCCGCAGGGAGACGGCGGCAGAGAGAAGGGAAGCAGGCAAACACACAGGAGACGGGCAGAGACAAGGAGGGCACAGGGGCCGGGAGAGGGGGGGCAGGAGAGAAAGCCAGCCAGCGGGTGTCGAGGAGGAAGAAGGACCCGGTGGGGGTGGGGCGAGCCGGCGCCTCGGACGAGCAGAGAACGGCAGAGGCGGGAGGGCAGGGGCCCTCCGGGGACTCAGCTCACGGGACCGCCGGCTCCGCCTGCACGGAACCCGTCTGCGGCCTCGGAGCAGCCCGCCCTGTCTGAGCCTCTCAGTCTGCTCGAAGAGGGACGGACTGCTCCACCTCCGTGGGGGAGAGGGCTGGGCGCCGCTGACCGGGGACGGCGGGCTCCGCGCGTGTGCGGGCTGGGATCGGCGAGGGGCTCAGACGCCGGAAAGACGGAGAGAAGTCCGGGAGCACCCCAGCCCTTGGAGGGCCCCCGCCGCGCCCTGGTCCCGCGCCCTGCGC